ATCATCCTAGTATACATATTTCATCATCTTCTTTCATCATCTTCCTTTCATTCTTACATCATCTTCCTTTCAGTTGTAATGACACAGCATTATTTCTGCTGATTAATATTCTGTATTATAAATTCTGATGTGTATTTCTACAAACATCATTACCTGCCCGCCAGCCTGCTTGCAAGCCACCTGGGACTTGCAACTTCCTGATGGCTTCCCCACCGACTTTGCTTGCGGGAAGCCAGCAGGGAGTTGTGAGAAGGTCCTTGCTAAACAACCCACAAACCTCGCTTAATGACGGCAACGGGGAGTGCTGGGATTGCCATCACTAACAGATATAGTCACGTGACATCGTGCTTTACAACTGCATCACTTAGTGATGGAAATTCCAGTCTCAATTGCTGTCATTAACTGAGGACTACCTGTACATTCAATAAAAACAAAATAGATTTGAAATTAGAACTCACAGCAAAGCAAAAATAAACACTGACAATGCAAATAGCACAAGCTCATCTGTACACAAAATTTTTGTCCTTGCTGGTTGCCAATCAACTAAGGGAAGGGGTAAATAAAATTCATCTGACTTGCCTGGCATCCTAATTAAAACAAAGGGCAATAAGTTATTTATAGAAATTTCTAAACAGTGTAAAATATTTATCCTACTGTTTCAACCACTCCTCATCCACACAGACAAGTACACTTCGGGAGTCAAAACTGAAAGTGTCTCCCTGCCTATAGGAAACCAGAAGCAAAAGTACTAAAACAAGTCAGTTTAAGTCTTTCTCTAACTAGGGGCCATTGTTAGAGATACCTTATATGTTATTTTTTGCAGATTAATGGCAAGATAATCAGATGGCACCATACTACAATCTCTTCAATAATTACTATCCTTTGCTTATTCTTCCCTTAGTCTTATAGGCTCCATAGAAGTCACATATTTGACAGTGAGTTCATGCCCCCCCCCGCCCCAGTGTTCTGCCAAATACCTTACTACAAGAAGTAAGGTAGCTAATATTAACAGAAATAAAATTAATTTTAACCAGTAATTGAAAATAAGCATCCAAGCCTTAGCTGATCCCAGTCCCCTCAGCATGCTGGGTATATGCTTTTCTGAAGCCAAAAGCATGAAACACAATCACAGCTACTTAGAGAACTTTGTCCCAACAGATACCCAACTATTAGCCCATTGTTCATATGGGCCTTCTTCTGGAAGACCATGATCTTTATTTTTGGGGAACTGATTTGCAGCTTTTCAGCACAATGAAGTGTTCCCTGTATAACCCAGTTAACAGAGTGGACCATCAGATCAATAGCAGAATAATTTAGAAGTATGTCTACTGGCCAACTTAGGATAGAACATCTGAGAAATAAAACTTATACCTAATAAATTAATATAGAGAATAAACAGAAGCACCAAAACGCATTCCTGCTTCAAGTTCAATATAGGGCAAACAGAAGACCTAAGTGGTTGTACTATATGCACAGGTACTTTCAGGTAATAGTGCACTGTATTAATAACCAGTGATCTTCCAAAGTTTATCCTTCGCAATGAGGTTGAACGCCAGTCTAAAGTCAATATATTCCCCTAAGAATAAAGTGGGTTTTGTTGCTCAGCTGTGATCTTAGGTTCTGACAACTTAAGAACTTTTCAGACTTTGGCCAAGACGGTGGGAAATACAACAAGAGAAAAGGCTGTCACCGACCGTGAAGAATGTTTGCTTTAGTAAACTTTAGTTTATTTCAGTAAACAGGGAGGATTCCTCAGCCTCGTGTGTTCTTTTTTACCTATGTCTGGATCCACCTCTATTGTTAGGTCCCTTTCCTTTCACTTTTATGCGTTTGGAGTGGGGAAGAGAATTAGGGAGCTAGATATGCTTGGGGCGAGCCCACTGTGCTATTATCACTTGTGGCTACTATAATTTTCCTGTTGAATAGTTTGAATTCCTGTTCCTGAAACTGAGCCTTCTCTTTGGGACAGCTAAAGCAAGCAAAGCAAGTTAAAGCTCTGTTCGCCTTTCCCTTGCATTATCCCTAAATTTTCTTTGTGGTGTGCAGAGAAAAAGTTGCGGACCTTTTTTGCAAATGTTACTGATAAAACCAACCTTCAGTCTCTTGTCCATTATGGGCTGGAGGCAGGGGGGATGTGTGGTTATGGTCAGACAAAATGTGGCCTTGTCACTGTTTCTGATGCCACAATGGAAATAGAAGCTGATCTGTAAGCTAAATTATTAAACTTCACGTCACAAAGGGTTTGTCTAAGTAATACAGTTACATCAAAAATTTAGAAGAAAATCTGCACGCTTAATAGTAAAGAGGAACAAATTTACAGAACCAGAACGAATAAAAGATTTAAGATTTTAAATGCAGGATAATCAATCTGTTATGCCTTTCAAATCAGAAGAGTCGATTTTTATAGGATGCTTTGTTTATTAGGAAACTTTGCAAGAAGATTAACACAGTATGAGTTTTTTTTTAATTTTTTATTTACAAAGTTAAACATTTTATGTATCAGTACACTTAGCATATCAAAATCCTGGACAATATGTACAGAATAAAATAATGTATAAAAGCAGCATAATTTGAAGTACTGCTTTTATAGTATCTGCCACCAGCAAAATTGAAAAAACAATATGACAGCTGGATCTGATAGAAAAGAAAATAGTTGACTTGATTCTTAAAGACAGATACTTGTCAAAAACTAGAGTTTTGTAGTAGCTTGTGTCAAAACAAGTCAGAATATTTCTCTCACTATTGAGAATTGCAGCAAAGATTGTCCAAATTTCGATATTCAACCAATCCACAAGTATTTGCTATCCAAACATAACAGCAGACCAGCCTGTTAAAATTATATAGCAGGGATGTCCCACAGTATTCATAAGCAAATATTGGATGAACAAAAGGTGAATTTATTTTATTTATCGTATGGCACATTCATACGATACAAACGGTGAAAGCATTTATCACAGGAAGTAAAACGTTTTTAAGTGGCAAGACAAATATGCCAAATCAGGCTTTATCACTTTGTTTTCCAGGTTGTCCGACTGTCAGAATTTGAAAAAGCAGAGACATCTAAACCTTCACCATTGTTGCACTGCTCATATAAAGTCTGAAATTTAAAAAGACAAGACAAATTATGAAATATTTCCTCTTTTCTTTCAAATCCCTTTTCTTCCCCCCCCCCCATGGAACATTGAGCCTAATCCTTTTTTACCTTCAACCCTACCTAAAGCAAATACCTAATAAGCATTTACTCCTCTTTCCTCTCCAAGTTGTTATTTTTCTTCCAATTTTCTTCAGTTGTCTCAGGAGAGGATCTTTTGCTGCTGTTTCTAAAACTTCTAAAGTAATAGTGTGCAAATGCCAGCTCAGTGTACACATGAACACAGTGAAAGCATACAAAGAGAATTCCAATGTAAGACAAATTCTGCAGAGAATAGTTAGCAACACGATTTGGTGCAGCCCTATTTCTCTCCTCTCATTTTCTACTCAATATACTTTTTTATTCTTCTCAAAGAGAAAAAGAAATTACTACCAAAGAAGCTGGTTGATGTTACAAATGCAGCTTAAAAAATAGTAAAACAATTTTCTTAGCAGGATCAAAAGCAGGTAGTGAGAGAGTTACATTTCTGAGGCTTGACTAGAGTGTTTCTAAATTTATAAAAATAGGGATTTGGCAGTACCTGCTGAATTACAAGAGAATCTCATTAGTTCACATAGCCTTGGAAAGACACAAGTACTACAGAACGTGAATCTCAAAAATCTGGGAATGTCCGCTGTTGCACAGCTTCTGCTCACACATTTTTCTTAATCCCCTCTCTCTTCCCACCACGTGTTGCAAATATAGTCTTCTGGAATTTACTTTGGGCATGCTTGGGGGAGACAGGTTTAACAATAATTACAGTATCTTCATACTTTCTTATGAAACTCCTTAACTCTACCATTTTTAGTCAAAACTTCATTTTTAATTAAAATTATATTTCAATTTGTTTTTTATCAATCAGTGCCTAAAAGAAAGGATTCTTAACATATTTTTCTGCAAATATTTTCACAAGGAATTAGAAATCATGTCCAGAAACAAGAGTTATTAGAAAGCCCCACACTATTTATTGGTTATTTTGATCAAAAACTAAGTAGAAGCACATTGCCTAATGCAATTTTATTTCACTTCTGTATCTAAACTCAAATTGACATGGTGCAAATTTTTCTTAAAAAAATAAATCAGACAAATCCATAAAAAAATCAGCTGCCTATTTCTATATTTATAAACTTGTTCGTTTAAGGCAGCTTGAAATCTCAACTTGGGCTTAATGCATGAGCTGGAATTAAAAAAATTCAGGAATATAACTATGCTCAAAATTCTGATTCCCTCAAAGATTAGAGCACATATTGTGAATTGTGAATACCTTTCCCCCAAATGACAATTTATTGGAATAAAATTAAAAGTTTCCCCAATTATCCACAGCTCCCTTCATCTTTTCTTGCTGTCTCCTTTTACAGGTAGTCTTTGTTGAATGACTACAATTGGAGCCAGCAACTCGGTCGTTAAGCAAAGCAGTCACTAAGTAAAACTGTAACTGTGCTTATGATCTTACTTCAGCTTTCCTTTGCTTTACAGACCTGCAAAGGTCATAAATGTGAGGATTCCTCATAAAGCTACTTTTTCATCACCATCATAACTTCAAATGGTTGCTGCATGAGGCAGTCGCTAAATGAGGACTACCTGTATTTCTATTGCAAACTGAATGATCATCTTGTATAAAAGGGATAAAGAGATAATAAATTCCTTCAAAGACAGTTTCTGGTAAAAAGATTATGTATAAAACTCAATTTTATGGTAATTTCTCTAACAGATTACAAATTAGGGTTCAATATCTATTCCCATATTTTAGACTGGAACAAACTCCTGACAAAGAATGAGGAAGTAAACTCCATTTCAAGTCAAGGCTGAAACCTAGAAACATTTCCTTATGTCAAGTATTGGCTAAACTTCTTGTAAACAGCTAAACTGCATGATACCATTGATGAATCTACATTACGGTAATACACCAAATTTTACCTGGCTTTATCATATAATATTAAAATGAAAGCATTAAAATAGACTATCCAAAGTTTTGGAGTAAGATACAGGTAGTCCTCACTTAACGATCACAATAGGGACCAGAAAATTTGTCGTTAAGCGGGAAGGTCATTAAGCGAATCACATGGTTCCCCATTGATTTTGCTTGCCGGAAGCTGGCTGGGAAGGTCACAAACTGCAACCGTTGTAAATGCAAGCTGGTTGCCAGTGCCCGGATCACAATCACGTGACCGTGGGGACATTGGAATGGTCATAAGTGCAAGGACCAGTCATATGTGGCTATTTAGTGCTGTTGTAACTTTGAATGGTCGCTAACCGAATGGTCTTTAAGCAAGGACTACCTGTACTATGAATATGTTGATGACACACCTCTCAAATCTTCCTTGCCATCCTAGTTTAAGGAAGCAGCTGATACCACTGAATGGTACCTAAATTTGATAGTGGGCTGCAAAATTAAATCTAGACAAGATAGCAGTGGTCTTGGTCGGTTAAAAAAAACAGGCTCTTTTCAATGAAAGAACTGGTGTAATCTAGGAGTCTTTCTTGATCCTCAACTATAGTGGCAAGGAACTGGAAATAGGTATCATGTGTTGATTACATTATTATTATACTATTATAATACAGTCTACATAAGATTACCCTTTTTTAAAAAATGTGCAAAATAGTATGACTAGTTTGTTAACTAATTTACTATACTCATATCACATCATGACTGCATTGAAAAACATTGCGTGTCAATTGTTTTAAAGGCACTGTTTAAGGGATTTGTTTTAATCCAGGAAACCCAAAAGTGCTTACAGCCTGGTTATCCAACAGATGTATTTCGTTCATTATGAGCTGGTTCCAGACATTATGATCTATAGGAGAAGTCCTTTCAGAAGCCTCTTTCTCAAACATGCAGCAAAGCTTTTATAGCTCCCAAGTTTTGGAATCCACTGCCTTAAGAATTATGTTGGATCTTCCTGAACAAACATATTTTAATTATGCAGCTTTTGTTCTATAATTTTTTCTGTGTTCTTAAATTTTTGTCAAGCTAGCCCATCCCATGATAGCTCTGGGATAGGACATAAAATCAATCAATAAATGAGAATCTATAGTACTACTATTACTACTACTACTAGTAAATTTTGGGGGAGGAGGAGGTACTTTCTAAAAAGAGATAATCTCCAGATAAGCCTTTTGCTTGTGGAATGTAAAGTACTTTTAGGATTATGTAGCTTATATAGCTAATGTTTTCTTGAAGGTTTTGTAAGGTTGTATCTCTTCTACCCCAGGCCACTTCCTATTACAGGTAGTCCTTGAGTTACAACGGCACTTGGACCGGAATTTCCATCACTAAGTGATGCAGTCATAAAGTGTGACGTCATGTGACCACATCGCTAAGCAACAGCAATGCCGGCAGTCGCCATTGGCATCGTTAAGCGAATTCCACCAGTCATTAGCTGAGGACCCACCCCAATCCAATTCATTCCTGGCTTGGTCCCTCCCAGCCCTGAGCCTCAATAAGGTAAGGGGCTGCCTCCTCTTGAACTCCCCACTTACCTATCTTCCCCCCATCTCTTCCCTTTTGGCCACTGCTTACCTGCTGCCACCAGCTGCCACCAGCACCCAGCCCTGCCTGTGGCCGCCATGCCCACACCACTACTGTACCAGCCTGGCCTCCTTTGCGCCACCTTCTTTCATGCCAATACTGCCAGGGCCCCTGTATGCATGCCAGCCAGGGGCTTCTTTTGCAAAAGAAAGACCTGGCTAGAAGGGTCCTTCTTCCATGCCAGTGCAGCTAGGGCCTTCTTTCACATGCCTGCCTTTTTTTGAGGCAGGTGTGCAAAAGAAGGAGCAGCTATGCCAGCATGAAAGAAGGACCCTTCTCGCTGGATCCTTCTTTTGTGAAAGAAGGCCCTGGCTGGTGTGCAAATGGAGGCCCTGGCTGGGGCATGAATGGAGGCCTGGGCCACGGGGTGAGAGAAGCCCTGGCGGCACCAGTGCAAAAGAAGGTGGCAGGAAGAAGGCCAGTACAGTAATGGTGTGGTGGGTGTGGCAGCCACAGGCAGGGCTGAGTGGTGGGGGCAGCTGGTGGCAGCAGGTAAGCAGTGGCCAAAAAGCAGTTGTAAATGCAGGAGGGTCTGATTGGGCCCAAATATTGTTCAGGCGACTGTGGGAGTGCTACAACGGCTGGAACTTCGAGGACAGGTCCTAAGTCCCTTCATTTAGGTCCACTGTAATTTCAAACGGTCGCTTAACAAATGGACGTTAAGCGAGAACTACCTGTAGAAGAACACCCCACTTTATCTAAATCAAACCATTGATCATTATCTGCTATATAAGATCCTACTATTTCATCAATAACACAATTCTTTGTCATTTACTGATTCTTAAAACCACTTCTCACTACATATTCACCACCCTGACAGCCTATTTCTCTCTCCCAAATGGACTCTGAGGAAGAAATATACAATCTTAGTGTGAAAATAATAAAAATAAAATCATATTAAGTATACTAGCAGAACTATTACTTATTTACTTACCCTAGCAGCTTTAGAAATAGAGTTAGGAGAATTCAAGCCAATAAGGTGACCAAGGATACGCTTCATTTCTTCAGTTGTTCCTTTTGCATTTTGATGTCCTAGAAGAATTTAAATTTTAATTCTGTTTGAGATGTATGACCTATGCTTTGATTTAAAGCTTTTTGAAAATTTTGGTATCACAGCATTTGGTAACCTCTTAAGCTAACGTACATACTTTAGTCTGCAAATAAATTGAGAGCATGAACACAGAAAATCACTTTTATATAGAAGAACTCTGGTAAAATTAAATGAAACACAATGGTAGTATCTATTGGAAAACTTGAATTACCTGTTTGAGAATTGGACTGTATATGTACATAAGGATGAATCAACAGTTCAGAGACAGATATTCTTTGCTTAGGATTCCTAACTAAACAATTCTGGAGAAAGAAGACAGAAAGATAGGAAATAATTGAAAATAGAACCAACCATGCTAATATATGTATATATATGAAATCACGAATTATGGAGCAGTTGAAGTTTGCAGAACGTAGTTTTTTAAACTGTAACTCCTCACAATCTTCTCTGGAGTATAATGTCCCCTGACTTTGAAAATTCTTACCTATTGCAGCTGTTAATCTTGATTCATCCCACACTATTCAGAAGAGATTTGGGGAGGGGAGATCAAGGAAAGAGTCCCTTCTGTCTGAAATTCTATATGCCTACAGTTTTCAGAATCCAAATCATAATGCAATTTTTCTCATGCAAAATTGGTTAAGAAGTAGTCAGAAATTTCTCTCTGTATACAAGTCATTCAACTTTTAGGCTACATTCACACATAATGTAAAGCCAGGTCTTGTTTCAATCAAGTTTTATTTAATATATCAATTCCTGTTTTAATTTCCCATCATTCCTATCAGTGTATAACTAGTAATCCCAAATGCTAGCAGCAGCAGCAGCAGCAGTTGTGAAGAATTATTTTGTTTTAGCATTTATGGGAACATCTTTTGTTTTTTATTTAGTGAGTCATTTTGCTTTACGATTGTGGGGATTATATTTGTTGGGTCTTTGTCTTTTGTGCATGCGTGCGTGAGAGAGAGAGAGGTTTTCTTAATGGAACATGCATTTGGTCTGTCTTGTCCTGGTGAGTGGGGTGGGGAAAAGATTGTATATGCTTGTGATGTTCTCAGTAGGTTACTCTGTGGGATGTGCATTTGCAAGAAGTTTGATTTGGATATAGTATGTGTTGGCATGATGTTATGGGGTGTTATGAAAAAATTATGGGGTCTTTAGGTGGGGTGTATTTTTTGCCTGTGTGTAGCTTTCTGAGCATGTGTAAAACAGATATTTTGTTGTCCTTTGTAGAGAAAACCCTATGCCTTAGCAATTAGGTAATTGTGCCTTGCACTCAGACAAGAACTGAAGAAAAGACTGTGGTCAGGGAGTAGTAAGAGTGTAAGGGGGAAAAAAAGTAATATAGAGCTGTTTACCTTGGAGAAGCTCTGCCTTTAATTATTCTCGCATTACACTTTTACAGATTGGCAAGTGGACTGGATGGAACAGGCTAGGAATAAACCAGGATTCCAAGTCCAGATATCATAAGCCATTTTAAAAATAATCAGGATCCATACACAATTACATAACATGATATCAAATTGTGATTATTTTCTAAAAAAGAATCTAGGGTTTATTATCTGGGATATTTACACATAGTTAAAATAAATCATGCCTTCGAAAATTAAAAAAATTAATAAAGCAGAACTCAGAGGTTTATTATCTGGGATATTTACACATAGTTAAAATAAATCATGCCTTCGAAAATTAAAAAAATTAATAAAGCAGAACTCAGAGCATGAAATTATTATCTTTTTGATAATAATTTCATGCTCTGAGTTCTGCTTTATTAATTTTTTTAATTTTCGAAGGCATGATTTATTTTAACTATGTGTAAATATCCCAGATAATAAACCCTAGATTCTTTTTTAGAAACTCAAAATATTACCTTTAAGACATCTAGAAGGTCCTTTTCTGCAATATCGGGAAACATTATTTCATAATTAGGGTCAATTATGGCATGAAGTTTTGTTATATAATTTGTTATATTCTGAAATGGAGTTCTTCCATAAGTCATGCAATATAAAATACAACCCAACGACCATACATCACTTTTTGGGCTAATCTAAAAAGTAGAAAGAGAAACAGGCTCTTATTCAATCACACCATTATTTTGCAGTTCTTGTCATTCTTAACATAGCCCTATCTGATACAATTGATTAAGCAATAAGGACAGCAACTGGTTTTATATGATCATACATTGTGATTCTGCCAAACATGGTATATTAACATCTGCACATGCCATTAATTCACAGTCAAATCAGAGAAAGTGAAAGATAATTAAACAAACAAAAATCAACACTGCTTCCAAGGCAATTTACAGTGACAATAACAAGTTCACAAAAGTATTTAGGAATATGATAAGCATTGCAAAGGAAATGCTAAAAAGCTGCACCAATTAGATGATGTGTTTACATTTATATCTGTGTAATTTTATGATCTAACCTCCTTAACGATAGATTCAGCTGAAACTCAGGGATGACATAGGACAAGTAAGAGTAGGCAGAGAAAATTGGGCTAGGAAAGCAGAACATCCACACTTTAGGGAATGATTTTGAATAATTACAGAAGCAGCCCAGCATGGTATGAGATCACTTGGAGGTGGCACTAGTTCTACATCATGCAACATGCCTCTGTATCAGTAGAAATACACAGTAGAGAAGAGATAAGGCTAGGGTGAAGAAATCAGGCACTATATCACCACCATTCTGTTTTTGTACTTGAAAGCAGCATTACTTGAAGTTGCTGTGGGTTAAATTTGGGCACCAAGGTTCAAACAATACAAACTAAACATGTGGAGGTTCCCTGTCAATCTTCCTGACACCAAGAAGCAGAGGCAGATCACTATGGAAGGCATGGGCATGGAAGGCAATGCTAAGGACATAAATATGGGGAGAAAAGGCAGCAATTGCCACTATCACCAATTGTACAGGTGAGAGGTCAGTGGATGACAAGCTGTACTCTCAAATGCAGATTACATAACTGCATCATTTGCATTGTGATATTCTGATGCATATGTCATCATTTTGACATCATCAACTTGTAATGGATGCCTATGGAAATAATGCTCCTTACTGTCTAAACAAGTCATTTTCTATTAATATTATATCTGTGCCTGCCTGCAAGATGCTTATTTTAGTTAAAGGTTTCCTATTTGCTTGATGTCAGTATAATGTAGCAGAGCATGGAGGTGTCATGTTTCTGTTTTAAGGAATCGATTCAAAAGTTAATGAGTACAACTCTTAAAGCCACAGCAACTTTTTTTTCCCTAGCTCCTATGGAAGCCTGAAAAAGTTGGGCTACTTTTAGTACTTTTACTGGATATAGAGAACTGCTGCAGTTGTGCCAAGTCCAAAGCAATTCTAAACCATTCTTTAAAGCATGCATAACCCTCACAATTTCATGCTGCATAAATAATAGGAATCCTGTGGGTAAAATCAATCAATCAATCAATCAATCAATCAGCAACCGGCCCCATTTAAGGTGAACTTTTTCTTCCATTTTGTTTCACAGGATAGAAGAGAATTTGATAGGTAATAGGAGCTTGCCTCAGCCTTGTTCTCAAGGTTTCTTATCATGTATTTCCATCTCTACATTCAAATAAAATTTGTCCCCAAATTGTACAATTTAGAAAACAGTGTCAACAACATTTTGTCCTTTGAATTATAGGAAGATTATATTACCTTTGATCTTGACTTGCCATTTTCTCCACTGGAAGACATATCTTTGATTGCCTCTGGTGGCATGTAATTAATCGTGCCAACCTATTAACATAAAAATAGGATTATGTAGATTTAAATAACAACTACATTTAAAAATTCTATAACTGATTTACAGTACTAGAGGATTAACTCCTTTTCAGGTCTTGAGCATAATCATGGATGCCACAAATCAAACATTTCCTTTTTTCCCAAGTGGCCTAAATGATGTGAGATTTCAGCAATTTAATCCCCAAGATCTTACAAGCTTTTGATTTTCTCACTGAACATTTCAGTAGAGCATTGAAGCCTCATGAGAGTTCAGCCATTTTAATTCTAATGTTGGTGTTCTGCAGCAATGTCTGGGGTTGCTATGTAACTGTACCCTGCTCTGATATTTCTGAAAACTTACTTCAAGTCAGGAAATCTGATAAGGTACTCATGGGTGCTAATAGTATCCATGCTTAAGGCTAATTAGGCTCTCTCTGGTTAAGAATCCTAGTAAAATAGGAATCCTAGTTCTCTTTAGAATCAGTAACATCTACCCTAATTTATCCGCTGTGGTAAAGAGAGAAATTCATTCTACTGAGAGACCAGTGCAATCACACAACCCTATCATGATTGATTAACCTTAGCTCAGAGAACCCCAAGGACTCCACAGTTCAACCCTGAGCTACCTATATTATCTTTTACTGGTGCTTAACCTTAGTTACATTGGAATGGAACAGTTCTACAAATAACAGGCCAGCGTGTTAGCTTTTTAACCATATTGCAGTAATGGAACAGTATTTGTGGATTTCTCCATAGCTATCAAACTTTATGAGACTCCACTTTCAAATCTAGAGGTGGCCAATTAGATATTGAACTTGTGGGACTCAAACTTCCCATCAGTTTTAGCCAGCATGGCCATTTTAGGAATAATGATCCACATCTAGAGACCGAACTATTATCTTATCAATGTTTTAAACACCTTAGATAGATGTTTAATATACTTCACAGTCACATATGTTTACATATACAAAATTCTCCTTAAAAACTTTCAGCAACAAAGTGAAGTAACTGGAACTGCAATAGCCAGGAAAGTTCACTTTTCTTTCTCATCAGAGGCCAATGTGAATCCTGCAACCTATATCTTTGGAAAAATAAGACTTGACTCTGTCCGAGCCTACCAATAAAGAAAGTAAATGAAACATACAAATGCAACTTGTGCTCTGCAAAATGTTTCCTGATTACAACATGTTCTTACGATACCCCATTATCAAACAGTAACACCAGGCAATTATTCAAGGTAATTGCACTCTTTTATTATGTTTACTAATTTACAATTGTTTACTAATTTGCAAATGCCTCACCTGGGAATCTTTAACAATGCTAGTCACATCTGGCTGCATCTGATTTGCAATGCCAAAATCTATTAGTTTTAGCATTCCATCTACTAATAGAAAGTTTGCTGGTTTCAGATCACTATGAACAATACCTGCAAATTAAGATTTATTAGTTCAGAATGTGTCGGTAATGATTATTATTTACCCACATACTAAAACACAAGGGTAGAAAAAAATCAAGATCCTATGCAACTTATCTAGGCAATCAGGAGTAGAGGATTTTTGTGGCCCTGATATCACTGGATCTTTTCTGCTATATGATATTGCAGAACAGCTGGTTTAGAAAACTCTCTGCAGACATTTTGTAATTTTGTATTATATTTTTGCTCACCTAGTTTGCCCACTGCATCCATGACCATAGTCCTACATATCAGAACACCAGCATCTTCTCTATTGAGATTGCCTCTGAAAACAATCTGGAATCCTCAAGTAATGCAGAATATTTCTATTACAATTTTGACAGAGTGCATTCCAATTGCAGTTTGAAGTCCTGCCTTTCATTTTTAGAATTTTAAATGGTCTGTGATAGGAATCTAGCTACTTGGAGGACCATCTCCATCTATTTCAACTTGTCCATCTTTTAAGATCTACTACTATGAGTTACTTCTCCATGCTGTTGTCTTCAGAGGCAGTTAGTGGCAATACATAAGAAATCTGTTTTGATGGCAGCACCCTAAAGTGGAATTCCCTGCCTCAAGACAGGTCTAGGTGAGCCAGTCTAGAATCAGTCTCCCTTAATTTTTGTGGAAATTTGATGGTTCTTAAAAGGGGCTGAAAGACTTATTATTTGGGTAGTCGATTAGTGTAGTCTGGTTTTTCCACCCAACTCTTAATTAGCTGACAGTTCTAAGTAAACACCTCTTTAAATTATGGATATATAAATATTTTGTCCTATCCCAAAGCATTGTTTTAAACATACTGTTGTTGCGATGGTTGTTTTAGTGTTAATATTTGCTGAGCAGGTTGCTGTTAAGTTCTGAAATAATTTTATGGTATTGATTTGTAATTATTGTAGGATATTTTGTTTGGTCTTGTTTTGCACCACCCCTTGGTAAAGGCACATAATTAATAACGATAACAACAATAATAATGTATTTGCCTGTTATTTAATGACCACGTGTTTTGGTTTTCCCCTTTTTACTTCCTGTGTTTAAATTATTTTTAAAACAGTTTCTATGCTAGTTCGTAAGCTACACTGCGTTTTTTTAGGGAGAAATGAGTATAAATCTCTTAAATACCTTAATATCTAATTCAATTTTAGAGTATAGCAATAACTCTCTAAGCAGTAAACAGCTGAGGAGCTTGCTCACTGATGCAACTATCTGAAAAATTGAAAAATATTTTCACACCTCATACTATTACCTTATTGATTTCAATGAAACCTACACATGCATTTGGTATTGTGTAGACTATTGTGTCAACAGCAATACATAGTCTGATGGTTAGCTCACACATGGCCAGAGGAAAACAATCTTATATCAAATCTGGGCATTATCAAAACAAGAATCCAGGCCTCCCACCCAAAAAAGAAGCCATCCACCTTATTACATATCTCAATTTGGAGAAAGAAGCATATGAATTAAATTTGATTTCACTGTAGGACTTCTTCTGGGGGATATGCAGCAGTCACTGAATCCTTTTGTAATGGCTTCTCACCCTTTCCTCAGTAAAATTGCTTACCAGAAGTTTGTGTGCCTATATAAATGATTCCTGTCAGGCCTGGTGGAAAAAATCCCGATGTTTAGTGTGCATGTACAGTCAGGTCCAGAAATATTGGGACATCGACACAATTCTAACCTCTTTGGCTCTATA